GTTTTGCAGATTCTAGCAATTCCATTTTGATTTGGCCATCATGTTTCGGTCAAAGTACATATGCTTGCAGTTTATTTATTTATGCAATCATACTCCTTGTCTTACATTGAGATATGGTGGTTCGAAGTGTTTCGAACAGAAAGATCACCTATCGGTTCCTTGTAAGACTAAACTATTCGTTCACAGTCTAGACAGGCAGTGAGACCCCTCTTGGATAAAGACTGTAGTGTATTCTTGATTCAGTTGACTGTGGAATTACAAAAGCACTTATGATAGGTGTTGAACAGGACCACAGAAGGATAAGATTATTAGACTCACTGATCGTTGTTGTGATCTAGACCTTTAGTAATTGATGCGTACTCCAAAGCTATAAGATAATATAAAATGGGCATATGTATTCATTACTTATTTATTTGATTTATCAAGGGTGATTCCTATTTTGCTAGGATGACATACTCGGTATTTTGGTAAATAAGTGTGTTTATATGATGTGCCGTTATAAATTATTTACGGTCACTGTGTCCCAGTGCGCTGGGTTGATGACGTCCCCGAAATGAGCTCAAGAATGAATATTATGTCAAGCCCTGCAGGCAGATGTGTTATCCGGCATAATGATTAAGGATCTGAGTGGTACTAGTTTTGGAAATGAATAAGAAGTTGATTAATTATTTTGTCAGTAATTTAATTAATCAATGGACGTTATATTTTAAACATGGGAAAATAAATCGATTAATTAGATTAATATATATTTAATCAGAAACGAATTAAATGTAATTCGGAGCTAAATGGGGAGAGCAATAATATTACTCTAGTGGAATGTTTTATTATTTAATTCCAAGATTAGGATTTAGGAATTAATTATATTCCATAATTTAGATTCCATTAGGAGAGGAATATTTCTTCTAGAATATTACCTAGGGTTATGAGACTATGGAGTCTTCTAGAGGGTAATGAAGGTCAGGAGGAATAGGACTTCTAGATGGGAAATGAGATGGAAGATAATAAGGATTCCTAAACCTTAAGGAATAAGTCCATATTTAGCACCTTCTTTAGGTCCCTATTGTAGCCTATAAATACACAAGTCCCCCAACCTCTTGGAACAACTTTACACGTTTTTTCTCCCCGAGAAAAAGCTGGAGAAATTCGGCCTCTTCAAGCGAGAAAGAAAGAGAGATATTCTTCTTCAAAAGAAAAATCGATTAGCACCGTAAAGTCTTACAATAGAAGATTCGAAGGTTGTTATTCGTGTCCCGTTGAATATATATATATTTGTTCATCCCGTCAAATATATTGATCCCGGTAGCAAAATCTGACGACCACCTCGCGTGCCTCTACGCCTGCGCGCGTGCATCCGCGCCCAGCAGCCCAGTGTGCGTGCACCCCGCGGCCAGCAGGCCAGTTCCCGTGCCCAGCGACCAGACACGACCCGAACCAACCCAGTCCGGCCCAGACCCGGTCTAGACCCAGTCCGACCCGGTTCAACCTGACCTAGTTAGCTCGACTCATGCTCGAGATAGTTTTCGAGTGGCCCGAGGAGTCCAACTCACTGACCGAAGGTCCGAGACGATCCGATGAGCTTGTTGAGCGATTTGAGCACCTTGATGACTCGATTGGAATCGAGAAAGGCCAAGTCCAGCTGCCCATTGGACTTTCGTGTTTAGAAGATCTCCATCAACGGAAATCAGAAACATCCAGAGTCGGCAAAAATTTTAAACCGTAAGTTCTAATCCTAATTATAGATTCCGTTGCGTTATGATTTATTATTCAATAGATTTGAATGTGCACATTGCCGACGTTCCTAATAGAACCCAACAGAATGTTCTTCAACATCAACATCACTCTATGAACACTACGGCAGACATGCTCCTCAATCTTAGGAATCTGGCCGAACATAAGTCTAGGTTTGCTAGGCAGGAGGCTATGAGTGCTTTGATGAGCATGCGTATGGCCGAAGGCACACCCGTAAGGGAGCATGCCCTTAGGATTATGGCACTGCTCAATGAACTTGATGTTATGGGAGGTTTTATCGACTGAGGAAAACCCAGGTTGATATTATGCTCCAATCTCTGCCGAAGAGCTTTGATCATTTCTGGTTGAACTACAACATGCACAAGATGCATATGACTCTTCCATAACTTCTAGTAGAGCTCCATTCGGCAGAGACCTTATTTACTCAGGCTCCTTAGGTGCTAGTCGCCGAGCAGGCTGGACCTTCCAGGCCTCACAAGGGCAGGAAGATAAAGAAGCCTGCAGGAAAGGCAAAGGCAGAGGATGCCCTAGTTGCCCCACGACCAGCCCCTCATGCAGTGACAAAGAAACCGAAAGGAAGATGCCACAAATGCAACAAGTCAGGACACTGGAAGGTCGGCTGCCCTATCTTCAAGAAAGGTAATTTTCTCATTAATGTCATAGAAACATGTTTAGTGGTTATATCTACCAGAACCTGGTGTGTAGATACTGGAGCCACTGATCATGTCTGCAATTCTTTGCAGGTCCAGGAAACCAGATGACTTAAGGAGAGAGAGAGCACCGTCTACATGGGCGATGCTACAAAAGTGGCAACTGTTGTAGTGAGAGACGTTACTTTATCGTTTAGTAGTAGTAGTTTGGTTTTGAGACATTGCTTTTATGTTCCTAGTTTTAGAAAGAATCTTATTTCAGTTTCTAAGCTTGTTATGGATGGTTTTTCATTTACGTTTGATGACTTGGTTATTATTCGTAATGAAATTGTTTCATTTGTTCTAGTTCATTAGTTGGTAATATGTATGTTCATAAACAAACTCTTCCACGCTGCAACAAATTGAATTGAATAATATCATGACCAAATCTAATAAAAGGAAGGAGTCTTTGCAGATGAATCAAGCATATCTTTGGCACCTTAGACTTGGGCACATCAACCTTAGGAGGATTCAAAAGTTGGTATCTATTGGACTCCTTGGTCCATTAGAAAATCATTATCCGACTTCCGAATCGTGCCTGGAAGGTAAGATGGCCAATTGGCCATTTTCGACAAAGGGGTATAGGAGCCAAGAAGTGCTAGGATTGATTCATTCTGATTTTTGTGGTCCTATTTCGATCCAGGATATAGGAAGTTTTGAGTATTTTATCTCTTTTATTGATGATTACTCGAGATTTGGGTACATTTATCTGTTGCACCGTAAGTCTAAATGCTTTAAGAAATTCAAGGAGTATCGGGCAGTTGTGGAGAAGTTTTATGGTAAAAGTATCAAGTCACTTCGATCTGATCGAGGTGGCAAGTACCTCTTTTAAGAGTTCAGGACATACTATCAGAAGCTGGGATTGAATCTCAATTAACTGCACCCAGCACGTTACAGCAGAACGGAGTTGAAGAGCGAAGAAATAGGACTCTTATGGAGATGGTTAAGTCGATGATGAGTTATTAAAAGTTACCAGATTCACTGGGGTATGACGTTGGAAAGAGCATCGTATATCCTGAACATGGTTCCTTCAAAGTCGGTTGAAACTACTCCTTATGAGATGTGGAAAGGGCGCAAGCCCAGTTTCATACACTTTCGAGTATGGGGTAGCCCTGCACACGTGTTAGTGTAGGAAGCTGGCAAGTTGGAGAAACGTTCCGAAGCACGGGTGTTTGTAGGCTATTCCAAGGGGAACAAAATGTGGATTATTTTATAGTCCCAAGGATTAGAAGGTGATCGTTAGCACGAATGCTAGATTCTTGGAAGAAGACTATATTATGAATCACAAGCCCGCGATTAGACTAGTCTCAGAGGAGTTGAAGGGTGAAGACGATAGTTTCCCACTGAGTGCACAAGTAGATAAATCACATAATACTGCAACACGACACACTGAGAGTGTACCAGTGGAGACAATACCTCGTCGTAGTCGAAGGTTTCTCACTTACCCGACCGATTGATAGGACTTGGAGAGTCTTCGGGCTCAGTTCCATGAAACCTAGAATCGCACCCAAGGACCTACAACGAAGCACTCTAAAATAAAGATGCAGGTGAAATGTTGCAATGAATGCTGACATGGGGTCTGGGCCGGGCCGAGTCAATGACCCGCTTCATCTATTTTTTTTTTCTTTTTTTTTTTTAAAAAATGACGGACCCGGCCCGGACACGAACCCGGCCCGGTCAACCGGGCCATTGACCCGACACGAGTATAGGTCTGTGCCGGGTCCGAGTCAGTGTTTTGGAGCCTGGTGGCCCGCCGGGCCGTGACCCGACCTAGGTTTTCTTCAATTGTACATTAAGGATTATTTAAGAATTAACCGTTATTATATATGTGCATTAATTTTTTTTTTGGTACAGGTACCTTCCGGTTTCCGAATCCACATGGAACCGACTAATCCAGAATCGAGCCGGGTAGGACCACAAGGGCGGCAAAGCTCTCCCTCAAGAGTTTTAACACTGCTGCATTTCCAGGGCTCGAACTCGAGACTACTGGTTAAGCTGGAAAAGACTCAAACCATCTCATCCAATGGTTGTGATTGCTGAAAATATTGATTAAAAAAAATAACATACAAGAATCAAGATTAACCTCAAGGCAAAATTGTACTTTTGGTCCTGTTGCTTTGGCCTCGTGGCAATTTTCGTCCTGAGATCGGAGCATTTTCTTATTTAGTCCTGTAATTTCAAAAGTCAATGCAATTTCAGTCCTTCAGGCGCCCAAAAGTCAAAATTATTGTCGGATTTGTGACGTGGCCCGCACGTGACGCCCTCATGTACGATTTCCTCTGACTTGGCATGCAAAAACACGGACGTGACAACAAAATCAATTAAAAAAATGCAAAAAAAAACATAAAACAAAAAACAAAAAATGTTTACTTATCCCCAATTTATCGATCCTAGAACTCTAACTTCCCAAATCCAAACCAAGAAACCTAATCCCCCAATTTGTGAAATTCGCACATAAATTTATCGAGGCTAGAGATGGGTCCCACGAGGCGGTAGTAGGAGACACCGACTAAGATGACGGGGATGAAGAGGCCGGACGGGATGGCGATGACGTAGGTGATGATGCCGAGGGAGAAGACTGCGATGAAGAAGGTGAAGAGGGTCGAGATTTGGAACTCGTTTCGGTTATTGGAGCTGAGGAGGTTGAGGATGGCGTCGTCGTCGGTGGTGTTGAGGAGCAGGAAGGCGAGGTTGTTGTTGTCGGAAAAATTGATGTGTTTTCAGATTTTTTTTATTTTTTTATTTTTATTTTTTTGTTCTGGGAACGATGTATATTCAAAAGGTGGGGAGGTGACAATTTTTTTTTCTTGTTCTGAAAACAAAATCGATGGGGACAAAAATATTCAGAATTGGTTATAAATTCGTGATACTCATTTTAATTGCATCTTTCTTCCTAGTTTACCATATTGATTTTATTATAGACATTTATTTAGGGTTTAGGGTTTAGGGTTTAGGTTTTATTTTTAAATTTCAAAATTGCAAAGTGGATTTTGTAATTTTTTTTTTTGGCATTTTTTAATTGATTTTGTTGCCTCGTCTGCGTTTTTGCATGCCAAGTCAGAGGAAATCGAACATGAGGGCGTCACGTGCGGGCCACGTCACAAATCCGACAACAATTTTGACTTTTGGGCGCCAGAAGGACTGAAATTGCGTTGACTTTTGAAAATACAGGACTAAATAAGAAAATGCTCCGATCTCAGGACGAAAATTGCCACAAAGCCAAAGCAACAGGACCAAAAATGCAATTTTGCCTCAACCTCAATATTCATTATATATATTTTTTTAGTCGTGACTTATATAGAATTCGGCGGCAATAACACAATTGAAACTCGGGCCATTCATTCAATCAGAAGTCTCATTTTTTTCCGTCTCTCTTCTCTCTCGCTGGATTCTCTCCAACCCAAGGTAAGGTCGTGTTCTTGTTTACCATGTCTTACACCGTGAGTTTCTTCTTCATAAAAAATAAAGCAAGAAAAGAGAGTGGGAGAGAGGGAGAAACCACAATTTCAGTTGATTTCGCCGCCGTGAATTCTTTGCCGGAAATCTAATTTACCCGGAAAACCCAGAGAATAATTGATAAAAACCCTGTGTGTACGTGCGCGTGTGTGGTGAGAGAGAAAAGAAACGGAGAGAGGTCGATTGTGTGCCAACTGTTATCGGAAATCTAATATTATCCCCATTACAGCATAGATTTTTTACCCCGAAAACCCTTAACTTGCGTGTGCTGAGAGAGAAGAGAAACAGACAAGTCGATAGTTTTTCTTGGTCACTTTCTTCTTCGTTGATGTCGTTTGCTTTACAATCTTAATGCCAAGCACATATGTTTCTCCCTTATTTATTTATTTAATTACTCTTGATTATTTTATGTTGCTGGCAAAATAATTTCTGTTGGAAGTTCCCCACAATTTCTGAATAGAGAAGCATTCGTGGTATAGTTCCTTCTTTCAACCCTAATTGTTGTTCCATTATTTATCTCTTTATTTTATGCCCTGTCGACCAATCTGAAGTTCATTCGTTAAAACACTTTGGATATTAGTTGATAAAATTTCAAATGCTCCAGGGAAATGGACCTTGTGGTTTGGGGTGGTGCCTCTAAAGAACATGGTGCATATATAGAAAGTCTTGTTACCATTTTAGTCTTGTTACCATAATTTCCAGTTGATTTCGCCGTGAATTCTTTGCCAGAAATCTAAATTTCCCGAAAAAGCGAGAGAGAAATTGATAAACCCTTTATGTACGTGCGCGTGTGTGGTGGGAGAGAAAAGAAACGGAGAGAGGTCCATTGTGCCAACTATTTTCTCTGAATCGCCATTCATCCCCCGAGAGAGAAAAAAAAAAAAAAAACAAGAAGAAGAAGAAGAGAGCGCCCATCGTACTTCACCTCGGTTAATTCTTCATTGGAAATCTATAATTATCCCCATTACATCATAATTTTTTACCCCAAATATCCTTAACTTGCATGTGTGCGTGTGCTGGGAGAGAAGAGTAACAGAGAAGTCGATAGTTATTCTTGTTCACATTCTTCTTCGTTGATGTCGTTTGCTTTACAGTCTTAATTCCAAGCACATATGTTTCTCCTTTTTTTTTTTAATTATTTTAATCAATCTTGATTATTTTATGTTGCAGGTAGTATAATTTCTGAATAGAGAAGCATTCGTGGTATAGTTCCTTTGTCAATTTCTGCCTTTTTATTTTTTCATGTCAATATCACAATTTGAAGTGTACCAATAAAATTTCTTAAAACTACTGCAGGTATTTTGACAGTGATGTTGAGGACAATAGCCACATAGTTCCTTGCATTTTCTTTTTTGGTTATCATTATGTGCTGGTCTTGTTTAGTTTTGTTGATGAAGGGGTTATAAAAAACCGTAGAGCCATAATTTTTGATGTGATACTGAAGCCCAAATGTTTCTCCCTTTTTGCTCTTTATTTTCAGCCCATCTTATCATTTCATTAATATTTTTGATTATTTTGTATTGCAGATACCAATAATTTCTGAAGAGAGTCGTTCAATCCAAGCATTATTTGACACATTCTAGGTATGGTTTTTTTTAACCCTCATGTTAGTATAATATACTCTTGCGATATCTTTTCAGTTCAAATATGCCCTGTTTCCGAAAAAAAAAAATGAAAAATCATAATAATAATAATCTGAAAACTGCCGACCAATCTGAAGTTCATTCGTTAAAACACTTCGGATATTGATTTGTTTACTTAGTTATTTTCATGTGGACTGTATTAGTTGATAAAATTTCAAATTCTCCAGGGAAATGGACCTTGTGGTTTGGGGTGGTGCTGCAGATGATGAGGGCAATGATGGTTGGCACGGTATGATAAGCAAAGAAGAATTCGTCCGTGTTGTTGAGGCGGCCTTGGTTTCTTTAGGATTCAGTGACACTATGCTCGCGTTTTATAAGGAGATGCGTAACAAATTGGGTTTTCTGAAGCCATCTAACAAGTTTAGGGAACATATAATTGAAGGGAATTGGGCCGAGGCGTCTGAGTTGGTTGGGCAAATGGACATGTCGGATGTCGATAGAGCTAGGGTGCTGATAAAAATTCAGGAACAAAACTTCCGTGAATTACTGAAAGTTGGAAGAAAAGTCGATTGTATGAGTGTATTCTACCAGATGACCAAGCTTGGTCTTGATGAAGAGAAAACAGTGCAACTCTTGCAGCTGTTTTCGAATCCTGAACACGATATGCCACCGGACAGAAAGATTTTGCTGAAAGAGGTTGGGAAGCTGTTGCCACCGGGAATAATTTTGGATAACAGGCTAATAGAGCTTTTAGAACAAGCTCTCTCTCATCAAAAGGAGTCATGCATCTATCATAATACTCCATTGAAGAAGATGTCTCTTTTTAGGGATCATCTTTGTGCTGATAATAGGATTCCGAGCAAACTTCAGCAGGTTAATCTTTTTGCTTTTAGTTATGTGAATGAGTAAACCTAAGTTGTAAGGATTCCTCTATTAATTAACTAGCTAGATGTGTTTAAATTCTGAAGTGAATTTGTTCCTTTTGACTTGTTAAATTAGTATTGTGAGTTTTCAAATATTTTGTTGCAGGTCCTAACTCGTCATGTGCATAGAACGAGAGCTGATTATGATACCATTAACGCTCTGCAATTTTCAAGAAATGGTGTGTTCTTAGCCTCTTGCGCCGGAAGGGATGCAATCATATGGGGGGTAATCAATGTTATGCAAAATTTTTCAATATGTGCATCATTATTCTGTACCACGATGCTTACTTGCATACATTTCAGGTGCAGGGACTTCATGTCAGCTTTCTCCGTCACTTGACTGGACATGGGTGCTTTATCATCAACGATATATGCTGGAATACAAAGGACACAGAAGTGCTTACGTGCGCTGAAGATGGAGCTAAAAGGTGGGATGTTTTCACCGGAGAGTGTCTGTCCACTTTCAACAAGAGGGGAATGATCCGTTGTGTTTGGGTAGATGATGGTGTTTTTACTGCACATTGGCTGGGGATAACTATGTGGAGTGTTTATGGAGAGGAACTAAATAGATGGGATATGAAAGGGGAATCATGGAGTGTTCGAGGACAGGACCTAAGAGGAGAAGTAAAAATATGGGAAATGAAAGGGGATAATTTGCTGATACCATTTATTGGATCAACTTTGAGGAAGGAGGTTGTATACGCCCAGGAAGACTCCACAATCACACTCTTAGGCTGGGAAACTGGGAAAGTACGAACCGTTATGGAAAATGGCAAAAAGGTAATTTCAGTTGCATTGTCAATGGACAGCAAATTTTTACTTGTATCTCTGGACAACAATACCGTAAATCTCTGGAATATTGATGGCCGTACAAAACATATGAAAATGTTTCATGATGATGAGATGCAAGACATTGATTGTGGAGTTTGTTTCGGGGGATGTAATGAAGCGTTTGTAGCATGTGCCAACATTGATTCGCGAGTGAGTATTTTTTTCATTAACTATTTTTTTTTCTTTAGTTTGGTAATTGTATCTGAGAAGTTGTTTTGTATGGCTCTTAGGTGCGTATTTGGCACAGATCCTCAGGGGAGTTGGTAGCCACTCTCAGGTCCATAGATGGAGGTGAACCAGAGAGGCGGGTGGCTTGGAATCCAGTCATTCCAACCATGTTGGTCTCGGGAGGAGATGACCGAGTGATCCGGGTTTGGGGAGTTTGATGCGTGAAGACTGAAGAGCGTGTTTGTTTGTAGTTTCACCTGGTAGTAACTGACTTTGATTCTGTATGAGATAGATATACAAAAAAAACGTTGTAGCCAATTATGACGTGCCTTTATCTTTCGTGCCCATGGATCGAGTTTTTGAGAGGATTTTTATGATTGACTTTACTGCCACTTCTACTTCTAGGTGTTGTAAGAACATGGTGCATATATAGAAATTCTGTTACTATTTTACTTCTACCTTTAAACATTACTTGAAAGCACTTACATATTATTTTCATCTTTCTGCATAGTTATGTAAAAGCTAATGTTGGTTACACATGGCTATATCTCTGTTTTGCTTTCCCCATTTTCTCCTAATGAAGCCACACACTCTTGAAGCACATATTTAGGGGATTCTTGCAATGCTTTTTGGAATGTAATATCCAAAAAAAAAAAAAAAAAGAAATCTCAATGGTAGGAGCTTTGTTTCGATAATCTGTTATCCTACTACCATTAAGGTTTAAACTTAATATATGTTAACTCAACATATCTTCTTATATATAATTCCTGAATGTACTGAGGCTAAGTGACTAACTTGCACGTTTGGGACTCAACATATCTTCTTATATATAATTCTCGAATGTACTGAGACTAAGTGACTGACTCACACGTTTGGGGATTCCATGTAACAAATTTTTCATTTAGTTTTAGATGGAATTTATTTTTCTTTTTCTTTTTTCCTCATCTTTATTTTACAATTATAAAAAAATATAATATATTATTAAAGTATTAATTTGTAAATAAAGTATTTTGTTTTCAATAGCTATATATATGATTTGTTCTTATTTAACTTATTTAGTTTTAATATTTTCTTACCTATTTGATAAATAAATAAATTTTATTTGTTTCAAATTGTAATAAGTAATTTAAATACTTATTATTTATCAATTTATTTATTTTAATTTCTAGCAATGTAAAAAAATTAAAAAAACTGTTCTTTATAATTCAAAAAAATACTAATTAAATATCATATATCTTTTGTTATGAGATTTAAATAATATAATTGTTTTTTGGGTATTTTTTTATTTTTAAATCTCAATCAATATAAACTTGAATAAAAATATCTTATTTATTTGAATATATTTTACTTAATTATTATATCATTTATCATATAGAAACTATATTATTTATAGTTTGAAATTTAATTAATAAATTATTATACGATTCGTAATTTAGAATCTAATTTATTTAGTTATTATATTAATTTAAATTTTGAATCTATTTGTTCAATTATTCTAAATTATATATACTGAATTATTATATTCTTCAATATTTATAATAATCATTATATTATTTATGATTTGGGATATATTTACTTAACTATTATATTATTTATACTTTATAATACATAGATATAGTTAATTATTATATTATTTACAATTATCATTATACTTGAGAGTGCAATTTATTCCATTATTATATTATTTGTAATTTAGAATCTATTTATAAATTATTATAAAACCTATTTACTAAATTATTACATAATTTATAATTTATTTTCTTAATTACATTATCATTTATATTTAGAATATATTTAATGACTCATTATACTATTTATAATACAGAATCTATTTGTTCAATCATTATATTATTTATAATTCAGAGTATGTTTATTTAATCATTATATTATTTATATTGTTTATAAAATATAATCTCGTTATATAATTATTATATTATTTGTAATTTAAAATCTATTTACTTAATTATTACATTATTTATAACTAAAAAAATTAATTATAACATTATTTATAATCTAAATCCTTAATTATTATATAATTATAATTTATAATCTATATACTTAATTATTATATTATTTATAATATAAAATCTATATACTTAATTATTATATTATTTCGTGATATGTTATGATATATAAGTAAATAGAATCACATTTATAAATAAACGCCTAGTAACCCAGTTGGTGAGAGTGACTTTTTATAACCCAAAGGTAGTTAGTCAATCCTCACCATTGGGATTTTATTTTAAAGTCACCATAAATGACAATAAGGGTATAGTTGTAAATTCAATGATAAAGTAAGGTATAATACGTAACGCCGCTAACATAAAACTAACGGCGTAAACTTAGAATGACAAGTGTGCATTCTGACATTAAATACAAGGGGGTTTGACGCAATTTCTGAAATACCAGAGGAAAACGCGCATATTTCATATAATACAGGAGGATTTGGTGCAATAAACCCATTATTTAAGTAACTGGAAGAGTGAACTTGACCCACAGTTAGTCTATTACTTCAGAAGTCATATTCATGTTCTCCTTAGGATCACTATTGTAGTTCTATATGTACATTATTTAGCTAATGGAAAAGAGTAGAAGAGATCAGAAATCCTCATACA